GGTATGCTACTTTGTTAAGCGATTGCAGATTTTTGGTGACACTAAAAGAAAACATTTTTTTTTTTAGTGTTACTCCCTTTACCCATGCTGATTGCATGGCCCACAGTTTATTCACAGCAAGTTCTAGGTCTTCAGTGTGGGAGCTGATGCTGCCATAACTTTAGCAAGGCAGTGAGAAATAGGACAGTTCAAATTCAGCAGATAAAAGATTTTGAATGCCACATCTCCTTCTAAAAAGTTAGGTTTTCTCTTTTAATAATCAGAACAAATATTATTTCCATTAAGTAAACAGTATCAAATTAGTTAATACAAGGTCAGTAATTTTATTTCCTCCAACCTTAGAAACATGCTCTTCAAGCATCGGGTCACTGCCGCACTTGCTTGTGGACAAAAGGCTGTACAGCCACGTGTTGCTCCCATGGAGACTTTCTACTCTGAGGGGCAGTAGCTTGCACGCTTCCATGCTAGAGGTTCTCTTCATGGTTTGACCTTGCAACCAGTGGTGTGCTTTTGGGAGGTGCCCCTGTGTTTGCTTGATGACATAAAAGACATGCAGAAGAATTGTTTCATGAGGCAGTCTCAAATCTGGATGTTCTGATTTCTGCTTCTGCATTTTTTTCCAGAAAAAAAAAATCAGACTTGCAAGTAACTGTTACTAATAACAGTTAACATAGTTTGAAAACTACTGTGTGTCAAACACCATTGTGACCTTTGTGTTCTGTCACAGTCCTTATATAACGGATGAGGTTGGCACCATTATCTCTGAGGCTGGGTCAACTAGTCTGTGCCAGTAGCATTTAGAGTCCTGAGTCACCTTAGCAGTGGGACGGAAAGGTGCCTTGCATGGTCCATTTGGTGGAGAACGATGGTGCCAGCTCTCTACCCAGCATCTAGCGTTCATTTCTTCGGTGAGGCCAGACTATTATCAAAGTGCTCGGCACTGTTTGGAGGAGGCCACAGTACCTGTGAATGAAAAGTAGGCCATCAGATGAACTGAGGGCAGGACAGGCTGTATGCACTGCATTATTGGAAAGGTCACTTTGTGAGAAAAGGCTGTGGAAGGTTTCTTAGAATTGCTGGGAATCTCGTAGGTTGAGTAGGGGCAGTACATTAGTCATTTCTTGGCATTATAATGAAATGCTTGTGCTGAGCTACTCATTAAGAAAAGAGATTTGTTTAGCTCACAGTTGTGGAGGCTGCAAGTCCAAAGAGCACTGCACAGGTTCTGGCAAGCGTTCCCTTAAGTCATTTCATCTTTTAGTGGTTGGCAGTGCTAAGAGCATATGCAGGAGCAAGCAACAGCATTGCAAACAGGAAGCCAGAGAGAGCTGGAGAAGAATGCACTCAGAGTCCCAGAGCAAATACTCCTTCTGAATTTATGCACCCAGGGTCCACCCACCACCTCCTGGTGCCGTCACCCTGGGAGCCAGGGCTTTAACCACAGAGCCTTGAAGGACCTTCCCACAGAGTCCATACTGCAGCATGCAGGCGAGCTCTGCATGAACAAAGGTGAAAACACTACGGGGTATCACAGGGTCTTGAGTGTAGATGGAGCAAGAGGATGATGGCCACAGGTTGGGAAGTCTGGTAGGAATGAGACTGAAGAACCCTGAATTCTAGACAGAGGTGTTGGACTTTATTCTGTAGGTTCTGGAGGGAAGTTTAGAAGGAATTGCTTGTTTGCAATTCCCTTTTCTAGAAAGGGTGCCCCGAATATTACTTTTTATCCATGACCATGGGTCTAAAATTGTCAGTGCTTATTTGTGAACTCTATTAAAAAAAGGGAAGGAATGCCAGGTACCGTGGCATAAAGCCTGTAATCCCTGTGCTCTGGAGGCTGAAGCAGGAGAATGACAAGTTGGAGCTCAACCTGGGAACTGAGTGACTTAGTAAGACTGTTGAAAAATTTTATAAAGCTGGCGATGTAGCTCAGTGCAGAGGCCCTGTGTTTAATCCTCAGTACCCCTACACA